TTGAATCCTCCTTCTTATCATTGAAGAAGAGTGTGAATTGTCCTTCAAAATAAGGGTAAGAATTAGGGTTTTGATGTGTTTGTATGGATGATGGAGCAAGGCTCTCAACAAGAAGAATCAGGATGGACCATGTATTTTGAGGACCTCTGTGAAAATAACAACCACGGGGACTGCAATTATTCATCTTCCATGACTGGAGTTTCTTCTTCTTCATTGTTATCCGATGCAGCCTCTGGTGCTGCATGGAAAATGAAGAACCAGCTCATTTTCCCACCCCAAAAGCCATGCAAACCGCTGAATTTTAAGAAGAGAAAGACGGCGATCCCTATTCATGATGATCCATTGGAGGATACTGCTAGCTCTCCTGCTAATAGTCCAAAGGTAACTATCCATCTTGGAGTCATAAATACTTTTCTTTCTCATGTTTTTATCATTACTCGGTCTGAGTTTGTTATAATGGGCCTGAGTAGGTTAGTAGCACAACAGCAATAATTCTCAATTTGAAAGAAAACGAAGATCATCCTAATGGATCTCAGGTATCATCATTCTCTGTCGCTCTAAATCAAAAAATTTAATAACTCTCTGTCTCTCACCCAGGTATTTTCTCCCTCTAGATCAAAGACGGTGATGATCTTCTCCCTCTTTCTTTTTGACCCAGTTATTTTTTTCTGTCTGAAGCAAACTCTCTCCCCAAATACAGTGATGATTCTCTCTCTCGAAACCAGAAAACTGGAATGGCCTCTCTCACAAAAATATATGATAGCACAGATTGTAATTTGCTCTCTATCTCTCTTCCTTTCTTGTGAATTACAGGAGAAGGATGATGTTTCGGGAAATTTTTCAGAGTTTCGAGCGGTTGAAAAGAAGGAACCCCAAACGGAGGAGTGTACAGATTTGAAGAAGAGGGGACTTTGCCTTATGCCCTTATCCATGCTGGTTGACTATCTCTCATGATTCCCTCTCTATTCTCTTCTATGTAAAATCTCCATATAAACCAAAAAGATAAAGTTAAAATTGGAACAGAACCTATCTATCATCTCTTCTTCCAGCTTGTCTTAAACTGATGAGAGAGAGAGAGCAAGAGAGAGAGAATAGTACTTTTGAAAGGAACAAAGAACACCGTCCTCCACATGCAGGCAAGAATTAAGGGGACCCCTGTACAAGCATGTAATGTGGCTCACTACTCATTCCCGTACTCCCAAAATCATACTTGAAGTTTAGGAGAATTATGCACCAGTGGCATATGAAACTGTGGGAATCAACAGGGGCTGGCAATGGGTCGGGCGGCCAGGTCAGCACCAACCCTAAAAATGTAGGGCCTGGGCACAAAATATGGCCCTAGGGCCGGGCTTGGGATGGCCCACTTTGGCCCCAATTAATTTTTTTTGTTTTTCCCCTGGTTCGTTTGCAGCATGGCCTGGCCCCAAACCCAGGCTAGTCTTGGACCAAACCTATGGGGACAAGGGCGGGGTCTGAGCCAAGTCTATTGTTTGTAAAACCGGCCGGTTAGTTTGGATCTGCTAGTGTTCCGATTTCTGTTAGATCCAGTTTTGTAGTACCAGTAGTCTAACGAACATCTCAAAAAAAATTTGGGTCCAAAACCGGCCAGTTAGGCCTTGATCTAGTGAATTTTATTAAAAACTGGCTGGTTTCTGCTAACTGGACCAGTTTTCTTTTAAAACGGCATTTTTTTGGCAAAAAATGGGAAAAACGAAATAACGACCATTTTTTGAAGTGGAGTCCGTTATTTTGCAGTAGGACTTGTGAATTAAATTTTTTTGCTTTTTTTATTCAATTTCCTTGCCATTTTTTGGCATTTTTGGTACTTAAGTGTTGTAAACCATTATTGTTTGTCTATAAAACAACAAAATTCAAATCAAAGATAAAAAAAAAGAAAAAAAGTTATTGTGGATTGAAGTGGTGGATTTTCTAATCTTTTTAAATTTCTACCATTTCATTAATTTCTTTTTCAATAGGTAACGATTATCGATGAAATTTGAGATTTTTGAATCATAATCGAATTGGTTAACATATCCCTGTTTCAATTTGTTCAACAAACAAGATATATGGGGTTGATTTTGGCCTGAAAATTTGCTCAAAGAACTTGTATTCAAGCTGCTTGAAGAACCCTAATTCGATTTGCGATTTCGTTAATTTCATCTTCAATAGCTAATTATTATTGATGAAAGCTGAGGGTTTTGAATCGTAATCGAACTGGTTACCATATCCATATTTCAATTTGTTCACAAAAAAAGATATTTTGGGTGATTTTGGCCTCAAAATTTGCTACTCGAAGAACTTGTGTTCGATCCAAAAAATAGATTTTGGATCAATTTACAAGTTTTGTTTATCAAATTCATTTATGGATTTTGATCATCAAGGTTTCATCTATCATATAAAATAGCTATGATGATTTATAATTGAGTAAATTTTTTATATGAATTTATTTCTTGCTTGATGTCATGAAAATTTTATAGGTCTAAACTTTATGTGATTTTTTAAATTAAATAAAAAATACCAAGATGGAAGCCTTTGCAAAGCTTTTGCATTGATTTGTTCGATTTTTCAAACATTGAGGGTCGTGTTTGCTTGAAATGTAGCTCGATTTTAGGGGATTTTGAGAAACCGATTTTTCAAAAAAAAATAATTTTACTTAATATTATTAACTTAATAAAATTACTTTTTATGAAGAATATGGGAATTTTTTTTCTATTTTGCTTACTAAAATTATATTTTTTTTGATAAAATTATGTTTTTATGATAAAAATATGTTTTCTGTTGAATATGACAAAAAAATCGATCCTTCTTTTTTAAATGTTATTTTTTTTTTCCAACAAACAAAAAATTAAGTGCATGATAATGTCGATCTTACTTTTGCTTCCTTTTTTTTTGTTCGATTTTTTTTTTTAAGTGCATGATATGGTTATATTTGTAGTAATGGAAATGGGATTGTAATTGTAATTGTTGTAATAATGGAATTTGGATTGTAATTGTGTAATGGAAATGGGATTACAATTTGGCAGAGGCATTCGCAATTTCAAACTTTTTTATTATCTACAAAATTTGATCTTGCTTTTAAATAACTATCTTGGATTCTGATATTTACTTAGGATCAATAATGCTCAGTTCCTTCTTACCATTCATGAGTGATGGTTGGCTGAATAAAGTTAGCAAAAAGCAGTTTTTTAACTTCTTGGCCTATTTCCTCAAAGGTACAGCTTTTTTGTCTACCAAAGACGTATCAGGGATAAAGAAGGATGCAAACTTCTTGGTACAACTATATGATCAGATAATGGAGGATGTGGGAGATAAGCATGTAGTCCAGTTTATTATAGACAATGCACGTGCATGTGTTTCTGCGGGCAGCAAATTGATGGATAGGAGAAAGCATCTAGTATGGACCTCGTGTACTGCACACAACATCGATCTTATGTTAGAGGAGATTGGTGAAATCAAAATTGTGAAGGAGATTCTACAGGAAGCGAGGTCGGTGTCAAGATTTATATATAACCACTCTAAAATTTTATTTTTGTTCAGAGAACAGTCTAAGAAAACAGAGATAATCAGCCTTGCCATAACCCGCTTTGCGACAGATTACTTGGCTGTGGACTCCATTCGGGAATTTGAAGGCGCATTAAAGAGATTGTTAACCAGTGAAGAGTGGTTAATTGACCACCTCTTGAAGTCCAATATCGGGCTAAAAGTGGACGAAATAGTCTCAAATGGAAGGTTCTAGTCTCGACGTTCCAGTGTCGTAGAGGCCATTGCCCCTTTGTTCATGGTGTTAAGAATGGTGGATGCTGACAAGAAAGCTACAATGAGCATCCTTTACAAAGGTATCGAGAGGGCGAAATCAGCTATTGGGGAGAAGTGTAGTTTTGCTAGTAAAGTGATCGAGATTATAAAAAGAAGGCGGAACACCAAATTTGGACGACTAATTCATTATGCAAGTAAATGTATATTTATATCATTAGAATGTTTCATTATAAATTATTTTTCTATGAAATTTTAAATGACTTTTCTCTATCTATATATTTTCTAGGTTACTGTTTCAACCCAAAATTTTTCTATTTGAGACCTGAACATCGCCACAAGATTATGGAAGGGGTCAGATACATTATTGCCAAGTTGGAGAGAAGCCATCGAAACTAGGTAGCAACAATACAAGAGGTATTATTTAATATTTGGGTAAGAACTTGATTGAGTTATTATATTTGTGAGGAATAATGCACTAAAACGAAATATTTTGTTTTAGCTTGCTATGTATAGGGATGCTATAGGATCCTTCGGAACTAGACTTGTCAGGAATTCTCGAACTAAGATGGATCCAGGTTATCCCCTAACTAATATTTTTTTCATTCATATATTTAATCGTATGAATTGTTCTTGCCCTTACAATGCCTTTGCATTTTAATCCAGCTGAATGGTGGGAGATATATGGTAGTGATGCACCTCACCTAAAGAGGATAGCAATCAAGATGCTCTCTCAGATATGTTCTGTTTCTGGGTGTGAGCGAAACTGGAGTACGTTCCAATGGTTGCACACTACTAGGAGGAATCGACTCGCTTCGAAGAAGCTTCATAAACTAGTCTACGTTCATTACAACTTAAACTTCCGAGAGTGACAAATAAGAAGGAAGCTTGAAGACTATGGGCCGATAGACTTGGACACAGTATTTGTCACAGACACAGCAGAACAATGGGTAGTAGAAGAATATGAGCCAGTGTTGCACAAAAGAGCATTCCTTGAGGCTATCGGTGAGGGAGATCATGAAGAAGGTGATGAGCAACATGAAAGAGGAAGCAGCCAGCCAACATATCTATAATTCATCGGAGATGTCGGTGATATTGCACCTAATGAGGGAGAGTGGGAAGAGGGTCTAAGGAAAAATGAGAGAGATGATGATTATGCGGCCACCCAATCCCAATCAAATTATTCACATATCGAGTCCCAACAGCAAGAGGGTAGGGATGAACACGATAGTATAGGTGATCATGAAGGATGGACAAGCTTTAGGGATTTTGAATTAGGACCACAATAAAACACTAACACTCAGGGATTTGGGCATAGTCAGGTGCCCACTAATTTGGATGATTCGTTTTTAGAACAAGTCAATGAATTGTCACACGAATTCAATCAATGGTACCAGCGTGACCAAGATGAAGAACGACGTCGACAGTCATTTTATTTTTATATTTTATGTTATGAATTGTATGCTTTATTGTAATCCATGTATGATGATTTACTTAATCCATGATAATTCTATATTTATCCTTTTGTGTGATTCAAATTAAATGGTAAATAGTAATTCATGTAGGGAAAGAACATATCAATATTCGCATATTCATGCAAAGAAATGAAAATTCTCAATGCGGTACCCCTATTTCTTATTGAATTCCTAAAAAACAACATTTATAATGAATTTTAATAATTTTTTCGATTTTTTTTTAAGGCGTAATCCGACCGATTCGGCCGATTTTTTATCCGGATGGTCAATTCACCGATCCAAATGGGTTTCATAGGTGCCCGATCTGGGTCACTAATCCGCTTGTTAAACCACCGAATATGAACCATCTATGGCTCCCTCGTACAGATATATAGAATTGTATATGATAACATTCTATAATGAAGAGTCCATAATAGGAAACAATGATCAGCTTGATTAAGGGAAATCAACGTGATTTAGGAAAGTTGGCTGATATACAGATATCACTGGGATACACCAGGCTGTCTCAACAGTCTCATAATTGCCTAAGTCTGTATTTTAGATGAAACTGGGCAATGGTGACTTTTTCTATTATTTTTTATTTTCTTTCAAAAATGACTATTCTTAATTTTTATTACTTTTTTTGCACAAACTTTATAGCCCCCTTTTTTTTGGATAATTCAGTGGGGATGACACCCCCTATCTGTTTTTTCAAATAGTTAGTTGTTTTTTAAAACTATTAGTAGAATTGAAAGGCACAACGTGCGGCTAACGTATAGGGTGTGCTAGCACCATGACCTCAACCCCATTCCCCCTTCTAGCCCTATTTCACATGCATGGA